AAAGAAAAAACTGACTACAGTACTACCAAGTCAGGAACAGTATCAAGTTATTGCACATTTTGAAGTGAACTTCAAATGCATTAAAGAGGTTTAGGGATTTAAGGATGCATGCATAAAACCCAAAACCGTAATAATCCACGAATCTTCCCCAAATTGAGGGGTGGGGAAGGGAGAGGAAAGGCAGTGATTACCCCCAGGCCCTCACCAACCGGACAGGAGCGGAGCACAGCCCTTCCAACTTGTCATCATAGAAACCACGCGCGCCTCACCAGTCTTCACCGTCATTTCCCTGCTGCTCATCCCAAGGCTCCCTATTTAATTTTATTTTTGACATCAGCTTTTTGCTATCACTAAATTTCTCCCTCTGGACCATCGGGAGGGAAACATAAAAAAAAAAAAATCAGGAAATACATAAACCCCTTGACTTCAGTGGGGGGTAAAAACTCATATAGATTAGAGAGATCGAGGGTACAGTGAACACTATTCAAGTGACGGGCACACTAAGAGCCCTGACTCAAGCATTCCAAAAGCTATCCATGTAACAAAACCTTCGTACCCCCTTAATATTCTGGAATTGCAAAAAGACTAGAGAGATCTGAAGCCCTGACTCCTTTCTCTCCCAACTCAAGAGACTGAAGTCCAGTGCAATCCTCTTGCACTGAGAATTGTGCCAGAGTTCTTGGGCACTGAGGCTACAAAGAGACATAAAGCCTGCCCTCAAAGACAGTGCGCCATGAGGTTATTTTCCCAACTATTGTGGAACAAAGACTAGCCTTGTGAAGTTCTTTGCTCCAAATAATTTCACATGAAAGACTCTGGGAAAGCATCTTTACGAGGGAAAGATTACTGCAATGCAAAACAACACAAATAAGCTAACATAATCAGATAACCATCCAGAAAATTAGGAATTTAGCTACCTACCCATTATTGACAACAGACATGCTATTTCAAATACACAATCTTCAAAAAAGTAGGTGATCTGAAATGGGCACAAGCGTGTCACTTACCGCTTCTATGATGACCGAGTACGGTGTTCTGGCTGTGAAGACGAAGCCCAGCTTCCTAGCGCCTTTCACCAAAGCAGCTTCGTCTGTCAATAAGGAGCGGATGAGACATTGACAAATACATTGTAATGATTAGAATTCCGGTTAGTATCATTTTTCAGATTAACAAAACCCACTGTGATTAAAGAGGCCTGGCATTATCTGCAGAGTAGTGAGGGCTCGGGGTACAGAAGCACTTAGTCCTCCTACCCAGGGTCCTGAAAGGAGCACTTCTGTCAGATGGGAGGACAAGACCTGGAGCTCATTCACCAGGACAAGACTGATTTGCTTCCCTGCTATTCTTGGTTGGGATGAAGTTCTCTCTAATTAACCTAAGTCATATTCCCACAACTTTCTGACTACACACGTCCTCCGAGCAAGGCAAGGTTTTAGTTGTGCCACCGAGGGACTCCCTGGGCTGTGGCACAGCTTCCGCAGCAGTGGAAAATCCAAGGGGTGTGGGGGATGGGCGAAGATGGCAACCCTGTTCTCTAGCCCGATAACTTCTGCTGGGTCATGCAAGATGGCCTAGTCCTCCCTCTGCATTTAAAGCGGTATGAGAGTCAGCAGAGCCCAGCACCGGCTCTGCAGGGCTTTAACACCTGTAGCCACACGCGGCAGGTGCACCCCGCTGAGACTCCCACCAACAACCGCGAACTCCCACGGCTGCTGAGAAGGGCGGCGGGCGCCTGCAGCCGGAGCGCTCACCTGGGGAGGAGGCCTGGTAGATGATGTTGTCTCCATCCTTCTCGGGAACCACCGTGTGGCACACGGCCAGGAGGGTGAGGAACTCCTGGATGCAAGGGGCTGTGGGCTGCAAACGAGAGGCCGGGTTAGTGGTCAGCACACCACCGCCAACGCGCACGAGAGCCACGCGTGAGCCACCCCTGCCTCACGCCCGCGACGGCGGTTACTCCCTGCAGGGCAGGGTCCAGGTCCTTAGCGGGGACCCCAGGTCTCCGCACCGCCCGGGCCCCTTACGTTCCCACACAAGACCTGCCCTCTCCACCGCCCCACGGCGTCCCCGCCGCCCGCTGCAGCCGGGCCTCCCGCGCACTCCCGTCCGCGCGAAGCCCATCTCCCCGCGCTCGGCACAGGGCGGTGCGCACTGGCCACGCGGTCGGGAACGCGCAGGGGAGCTGTCCAGGCGCTTCCAGCGCGTTCTGGGACACCCGGGGCGCTGCCGTCCACACTCACGGATCCCCAGGCCACGCAAACAGACGACGCTCCAATCCCCTGGGAATCACCAAAACACATGTCCCCGGTCTCTCCGCCCTGCTGTACTGGCGTTCCTTCTATACCTTGTCTGTCCTTTAACTTTATAATCTTTCAACACCTGTAACGCAGTGCATCCCTCACCTATTATTATTAAACAACAACAAAACCCAGAATTGGCCTGGATATGTATTTAATCAGTTTGTCCTCTCCTCCCTAAAAAACAAAAAAAAAATCCTGTAATTGTCATCGGGATTAGACCACATTTCTAAGCAGTGGAAAAAGGACACCTTAATTCTGTTTTCCCATTTAAGAACACAACGTCTTCCTATTTATTAAAAGCTTCTAAATCTTCTAAATATAGGATCTGGCATATATCTTATTATTTTTTTGTTTGCTCAAAAAATATTTGAGTGACTTCTGTACATGAAGCACTGTGTGAGGCATTTTATCTACTGATTTTTATATTATCAATGGAATCTTATATTTTACAGTAGTTTATTGTTGGGATATAAGCAAAAACATTGATTTTTGTAAATTAATTTAATATCCATTTGTAACTGAGCTCTTACAGCTCTCTGAGCTGCAGCTGACTCTCCTCGGTATATCATCCACAAATGGTAAGTTTTCCCTTCCTCCCAATATATACACTTGTTCAGTTCTCACCTGTCTGCATGGGCTAGCACATCAAGAATGATGTTCAAAAATGGGGAGATAACAGGAGGTTATTTTAATGCCAATGTCTTTAATGCATACCTTTTAAGTAGGCAACTGGCTATAAATTTGAGATAGACTTATATTTTCACATTAAGGAAGCAGCTATGTGCTTGCTATTTCTCACAGAGTTTTCTTCTTTCTTTTTATTAGTCCTAAATGGATGATGGTTTCCACAATGATGCTTTTAGCTTCTTCTCTGACCTATTAATGTGACTTAAGATGAATTTTGTGGAAGCAAATCACAACTGTTCACATGGCTACTTCTTATCAGGCTACATGAAAAGAAAATGCACATTAAATTATAGGTCAGTAAAGTCAAATAAGTAAGCTTAGAGAATTTACGAATTCCCCAAAGGCTACACTAAAAAAATGGTAAGAACGTTTACCTGAAAGTACTTTAATTTGAGAATTGGGCTTCAATTCAATATTGCCTTCCCCTGAGAACTATCCAGTCCTGGCCATAACCTTTTCCCACAATGAGACAACAATAAAGGATCTTTGACTTTATAGCAAATAGATAAACCTAATACTAAAATATTTTCTGAGAGTTATAAAGAAGAATTACACACACATTCACATTGAGTTTCTATCTGGAAAGTTAGGCCAGACAAAATCCATACAGATAAAAACAAAATTCATAAGACAGAATTAATCTACCTTTGATTCTCTTAGGGGAAACATACAAAATTAATCTGAAGCCTATGGATGTGTGTATGTATGTATGTGTATATATATACACATATATATACACATATATATACACATATGTATATCTTCTTAGAAGTTACAGCTTTTTATTGGGATTAAATATAGATGTAATATTTGTCATTTTAATCAATTTTAAGTGTATAATTCAGTGGCATTAAATATATTCACAATGCTGTGTACCCCTCACCACTATCTATACCCCAAACTTTTTCATTTTCCCCATCAGAAACTCTGTACCCATTGAACAATAACCCCCCATTCTTTCTTCCCTCTACCCCCTAGTAACCTCTATTCTGTTTTCTGTCTCTATGAACTTGCCTATTCTAGGTACCTCATATAAATGGAATCATGTAATATTTTTCTTTCAGTTAACAGCTTTTAATATGTACAAAATGCTATATATGGTATCTATAAACAAATCTTTTCTATTTATTATTGATAAACTTAAAAAATAGAAAATTATGTCTAAAATTGTGCATACCTCCAAGTACCTAAATAATACACACACACACACACACACACAAACAAATGATTTCTTCTTGAAGACTCAAGCTCAAGAGTACTAGGCATAATGATTCAAAAGAAAGCTATCTTCTTCCTTGAAGAATCTTTGGAAATTTCTCCCACAAACAGTCATTGGTTAGCAATGTAATCAAGGGATCACATGCACTGTTCTCCAAAATTTTCCATAGGTTGATTCTCTAAAAGCCAAATTCCGTCTTGGCTATCAGCCCACACAAAGCTTAAAACAGTCCTAAAGGACCCAGAATATCAGGAATGATGATCCAGGAAAAAAAAATTCTATAGCAGATGGAAGTATTTCCTTGGGAGCAAAGTAAGGGTTTTCTTGGGTCAAACGCTTTAATTATAGTCAATGGTCCCAAGACATAAATTTAGATGGGCATGTGGGGCATCCGCAGCCTAAACCCTCACTTGCCCCTTCCTTCCCCCCAACCGTACTTTAGCAAAATAAACAATCCAGTCATCTAATGGGCCCTGTATTTAAAATGCTTAAAAAACATCCACTGGGTACATTTAATCCAAACCCACATCTTCCCAAAGAAAAATATTGGGGCCGATGGTCTTCATTATTTACAGTGGAGCTAGACGTTAAATGTTGAGGTAGCCAAGATGAAGAATACCTCGAAGGCCTGGAGGATCTAAGAAAGTTTAAAAAATGGTACACATAGACAAGGAAGCTTTATCTACAAAAGATGGGAAATAAATTCCCAAGTCAATGTCCTCATTATGCTTTTACTGAAAGTGTGAGCATGCAGATTATTAAAATACCCTTAAAAGTCCCTGTGTTTTGATGCTCATGATAATGTCCCCATGTCAGGGATTCCTCTTCACAAGGGCTATACCTGCTCCTACTCTCACTGGCCTTCCCACTGAAATAAAAGGAAATTTGGCTCAGGACGGTAGACAGTGAGGAGGAAAGGAAGCAAGAAGAAAGATCACCAAATTCTCTAAACAGTGGGATTTCTTCCCAAAATGCTTGCCATTCACCATGGCCACAGAGGAGGGGTCAGGAGGAAGAGATGGGTGAGAGGAGACAACGGGAGGCACATCAGCTGTGCTCACATCTCCACTCAAATGTCAACAGAGACAGGTTCAAGAAGAGCTTGGAATGGATGGTCAAAACGCCATAGAGACCCGCCACACACCAATGTGGGGCCAGCTTTGGAGCGAACACCTGTGAAAGCCATAAATTAATGGAGCTAAGTATTGAAAGATTTCAAATATTGGGATCCCAGCGGCATGTGGTGGGTCCACAGAGGATCTCCTCCCCAAGGAGGAGGATCTGCCCCAGGCCACTGGGTTTCTACGGCAGCCCATGTTTAAGTCAGTGCAAACTCCATTCCGTGTGCGTGGCCACCCTGCCCACAGGCCAACAGTTACAGTAGCCAGGACACCCACCAAAGAGAACAGGATTCCTCTGTCTACACAAAACAAAATCGCTTCCTCAAGGAGTCACATCTTACCTATCCTGCAAAAGTGTATAATGGCTCTTAATAATTTTACATCTATTTCCCCAACGAACAGGAACCCCTTGAGTGTTTTTCATTCATCTCTTCCCCTAGTACCTAGAGTGAAGTATTTTTCAAATTAGGCCCTTAAACTGTTTGCTAAATGAATGGCTAAATAAATGATTCTCTTGTTTAAATGCGGACCCAACAGCTTGCTGCTGTTCCTAACCCAACGCTGGAATTCCGTGGTACTCTGTCCACTGAGCTCATCTCATTCCCTCTGCTATGTGGTCACTGTGGATCCATGCCAGGGAAGCAAACTCAGGAAACCAGACCAGGAGCAGTTCCCTAAGCTGCTTCTAAGTCACCCTGCCACTTTCCCCCTTCCCATTCGCCCTCCCAACTTGAACAGATACGTTCAGTCTCCCACCTTTGTGACTACCCACAACCTGAATACTATTTGAAAACACTTGTTTCCTCTTTCGGAAAACAAGTCCTCACAGCACACTTGTTTCTTTGACATCCTTGATTAAAACCACCCTCCTGCAGAGAAGATTCTGTGGAGTTGCCACTCTTCTGCTTGGAGAACCTCTACCCTAGGAGCTGGCTCTACCTCCAAGATCAAAATGCAAGAAAGAACCTTGTTGGGCACCTCTGTGACACAGTATGGACTTCAGCAGCATCCTCTGAGTGGTGCTGGACCACTTCATCCGCCTCACTCAGGTACTGAGTCAGAGTTGCTGCATCGCAGCTCATGGATGTGGGGGCCTAACACACTCACATTTCAGAACTGCTGCTGGGAAGGTTTCAGCACTAACAAATGGTTAATGGTTTTAGCAAAACAAACGGTTTTCTGCATTAAAGAAAAAAAGGATTTCCTCACCAAAAACTTAGAAAAAGTTATAAATATACCCGTCTCTTAACCAAGTTTTAGAAAGATAAAGTTTTAATTTTGCTTATGTTTACCTAACTTTAAATCTAGAACTATTTTTCAGAAAAAACTAATCATATCAGATCTAATTTATACTGACTAAACTGGCTGTGAAATGCTTTGATCACTGAATAATTTTCTAAGTTGGCATTTTTCAGAGTAGTCTTTAAAATAACAGTGAATTGATGTGATCCTTCAGTTAGCCCTGGTTTGCTGTAGCAGTTGAAGTAGTGTGACGCTGTAGTTAAGAATCTATAGACTTAGTGTCTAAGCCTCACTTCTACATTAATCTACTGGATAACTCTTGGCCAATTTGATCTTTCTATGCAAATTCCTTTTCACCTCCCAGGGGTGGCTCAAATGTTAAAAGAAATATATGTCAACTGTCCAGCGCACAGTAAAATGCAATAAACGATACCTGCTACCATATTTGACTTTTGTTTCCTAAAGTCTTCCTAAAGCACCCCGTCAAAGAATATAACATTACTTTTCAAAACACATGACTTGTAAGATTCACAACTGTGAAGAAACAGTACTGCAGAAATCCTACAAAGCAACAGAAGTTGGAACCGTTACAGAATT